TACTATGTTGCATTTTATTTTAATTTAAAATCTGTCATGAATAAATGTCAGGTTTAGAGAGGAGAGAAGAATAAGAGCAACAACTTAAAAAAGGAAGCTTTAACTTAGTTAATTTAGTAATTACACTCAAAGTGGGAATGATAAGCAAAGAGGCCTGGGAGGCGAGAAGAGGCCAGCAAGCTTGGGAAGAACCTCATGTGACATGTCGAGGATGTGACTTATTTGTTCTATGGTCACTGAAAGGCCACCCAACTCCACTCTTCAATCTATGAAGAACTAGTGTCTCAGTCACTAATAAGTGAGATGTATAAAAGTTCACTGCATATAGTTAAATGTGACTATTGTTTTGTGAAAGTTTTAGCATGTGGTTGACTCCTTGTACTTTTTCAGGTCTCAGTTCAAATCCCACCATCTTAAAAAGATCTCATTCTTTAATGTCTTTACCACTCACCTTGTAGGGGTCCCTTGATCATATCTATGCCCTTTTATACTGTATATGTTCGTTCATTGCCTGTAACCTCAACTGTCTTGTTAATTATTATATTCCCACCACCTGGAACAGGGCCCATTCACTAGCACCTTTAATAAGGTTGCTACTAAATATTCATTTGATTGGCAACACAGTATTAATAAATAGAAAAAGTATTTATTGCTTGTATACAATATGCCTAAGATCATGAAATTCTTTGAGTATAGTGTTTCTATTCTTACAACTTTGTAAGTTGGCAAGACTATTTTATCTGAAACTAAGACTCAGAGGTATTAAAGGGTAAGGGTCAGACAGCTAGTAGTTGTCAGAGATGGGAACTTCAAAAAAATCGCTATTCCATATTGTCTCTCTGATAACCCTCAATGAGGACTAATTAACCTTGTTTTTAAACTCCAATATTATTTCTGATACCACAATGTTTATCAAGTTTTATGATATTAATTTGGGCATGCTTATATCTCAATGCAGATTCTTGTCAAATTTATTACAGACTATATCTTCTGAATCGCTACCGTATCTAATATTCTACTGATTTGCATCAGTTAGCAAATATTTTCAGCTGAAAAAATAATTGGAAGTACATTTTATACAAGCCATGAGCATTATTATCTCCTTTACGAGAGCAGCATGTTTAGTTTTGAAAATTCACAAATTCCATCTAGAAAGAAACAGGAAAAAGTTATGGGAGCCTGGTTCTAAAAAGGTGGAATTTAGTGTTCTGAAAATTTTTATTGTCCTGTGAATATTTATGTTCTTCCAAAACAATCAATTAAATTTAAGGCGCAGAAATATTTAAATTCATTTCATTCAGTTAAGTGTATCTTTTCTTTTTATTGTTTTCATTTAAAAATGCTGATAATTACCAGACTTTTCCATGCGTAATAAGGCCTGTTTCAGAGTGTGCTTTTATGAGACTATTTTTGTTAACTATTTTGTCACAGAGTTCTCAAACCACTGACATAAAACATTTCCTGTTGGCTAATAACCTACCCTGACTGTGTAATTTAAGTAAAATAACAGCCCTAAACAAAGGATAATCCTTACGACTAGTATCACTTTTTTAGTTCTATTAGTATCTAATAATAGTTTTACATTTTTGTCCTGATCAACCACTTCTCAATTTACAAACTAATACTACCGTCATCATTGGCAATCTGCCAAAATAAGTATTCTCTTTTCTTTTGTTTGAATATACCTTTTTAAAAGTAATTACAATCCTTTGACAACGTGTTGTTTTATGGCATTAATATACCTCAAATAATCATGTCATGGAAAATGATTTTGATAAAAAAATGTTCTATAATATGTGTGTAACTTGGGAATATTTATTTAAGGACAATGAAAATAATAATCTGCATACTGTTTTATGTTTTATCAATAAATGTCAGATAAAGAAATGTGGTGTAGCTGAGCATGGTGACTCACACCTGTAATTCAGCATTTTGGGAGGCAGAGGTGGGTGGATCGCTTGAGCTCAGGAGTCCAAGACTAGCCTGGGCAACATGGTGAAACCCTGTCTCTAGAAAAAAATAAGACAATTAGGTAGGCTTGGTGGCTTGCACCAGTATTCTTAGCTACTTGGAAGGCTCAGGTGGGAGGATTCCTTGAACCCAGGAGGCGGAGATTTCAGTGAACCAAACTCATGTCACTGCACTACAGCCCAGACTGTCTCAAAAATATGTAAATAAAAATAAATGTGGCATAAATAAAACTACTTATTACAACACTTTACTGGATCATCCTGAGAAATCAATCACAGGATTAATATGAATTGAATCACAGTTTACATACATTTATAATTTAGACTATATATGACATATTGTACATATTTTAGGTTCACATTAAATGATATGAGCACGATATTAAAATAATATATCATTATTTAAAGCATTTAGAAATCACCCTTCTTGAAATTCAAGGATGCTAAAAAAAGAAATGAATACCAGTAACCACAATGTTTAAAAATCTTTAGTTACACCAACACAAGAAGTGAATGACTTAGCACTGGCATACAATTTCTTTTCTGCACTGGCTGAAATGCCTTCATTAAGAATTGGAAGTCAAAAAGTTAAAGATAAGTGCTTTAGGTCGCTAGTGACTCAAAATCCTCCATATGTGTACTTATATCTGTGAAGATCAGTAGAGACAAATATCAAATATGCATAATCCTCATCCTAATGCTGTAATGAGTTTCTGAAAAATAATATGACGTAAACTATCTTACATTCTATAATGTCTGCATATTCAAATACTTAGAGTTTATATTGTTAGAGTAGGTAGTTAGGCAATCATCATGTGATGGTCAGGTGGTTGTTAAACTACCTCTCTAAAACAATAATTGGTTGCAACCAGTGCCAGGGGAAGACCGTCTCTAATAAATAGAAAACACCTGAATCTGGTGATTAGCAGTTTCCAGATAAGATCTCAGGAGTTGAGCTGCTGGGCTTATGCACGCACAACGAGAAGCAAAGTGGCAGAGTTTAACTGGTCTATGAATAGAACATTCCTCTAAGAACACTCAACTAGTAAGGGAAAAATGCCGCAAGTGAACATACATACAACTTCAGTAAACATGCTGTGCAGTGCTGACAGGCCACTGTGCATGCAGACAGCCCGCCCCAAGGCAAGAATCAAGGGAGAAGTAAACAACGCCAGAGCCAGAAGCATGCCAATATATAAAACCCCGAGTCAGAGGTCAAATTGCATACTTGAATCTCTCAAGTTGCCCATTTGGCCCTTTTTAAACTGTACTTTATTTCCTTTTTTTTCTGCCTTAAAACTTTCCTGCTCTAAAACTTGCCTTGGTCTCTCCCTATGCCTCAAACCCCTTGGTCGAATTCTTCTGAGAAAGCAAGAATTGAGGTTGTTGCAGATCTGTATGGATTTGCTGCTGCTAACATTATCCTGATGAAAGAATACTTGAAAAATATATATGTATGAGCATTCTCTGCCCTCCTCCTCCAGAGGAAGAATGCTTTAAGTATGAAATAATCTGTTCGAGGATGAACAAAATCTCAAGTCGTTCATGTCTGCAAAAGGCATATTTTTTCATTTCTGGACTAGATTAGCATAAATACAGCATTATTAAATAAAATGATAATTTGTAGCCTTCTATGAAAAAGACTAGATGACCATAAAATCTATTTTTATAACCAACCAGTTGTGGTTCTATAATTCTCTGAGGAGAGGTATACCACTAATGACACCATTAAAATGAAAGAGCAATATCGAATTACATGTTAGTTTCCTAAACTGAGTGCTGAGTGCAAATGCCTTATTAAAGAGCTTGGTGTATCTACTGAAGCAGTATCAGCATATTTAGTTGAAGGAAAGAGAAATAATTTTATTAGAATCTCAGATACAGCTGATGAAATACGTCAAATTGTAGTTTATGTTTTATATTTAGCTTAAGATTTCTATAAAATATACGGAGAAAAGCTAAATTCGTGGTCTTAAATGAAGATCCATTCATTCGTCAGAATTGAAGCTTTTTTCTGGAAATTCATCTGATTTGCTTGCTTTCTTTTGCTTTTTTATTTGAAGGAAGAAACATAAGAAATTTGTCTATTTTTTCTACTAGTGCTATGTATTTTAAGGTCCAGTCACTCGATTCTTAATCACTAGGTTTTAGAAACTCTTGACATTTTCAATTACACCAATTTAGCTACCTGATTCACGTGGTCTTCATTTAGGAGCTTAACAATTCAAAGATATAACTTGTTACAGGCAAATGATTCTCCCAAGTTTCCAACACAGGATGTGTGAATGCCTCTGTAATTTTCATCTGATTCTGGACCTATCAATAACTTACCTTCTTCCTCTTGTGTTGGAAGGAAGTGTTCCAGCAAGAAACTTTTCATCTCTTGCTAGTGGAGCAACAGAGTGCTAATTTCCTTTGTGTGGGCCTAAACTTCACCCAAAAGGAGAATCATTGCATTATAAAAAATGGTCAAAGTCCTAAGACTTCAAGTATCTTTTACGTAATCTCTCATTAACAAGAGTACTTCTGAGGCCTCAAACAATGCAAGAAAATACTAATCGAAGATTATCAACAATTTTTGCAGTCACAAACAACAAAGTAGTGACCGATTGTATGTAATATCACTTACAATTCAAAAGTGTTGTTCTGTACTTAAAATAGTCCTGTATATATATGTACTTATATATATGCCACATATATAAACACACACAAATTTTATATGTATTTTAAATACTTTATATATCTTATAAATTCAATTTTATTTAATTGAAATACTTTTAAGAGAATCAAGAGCAAGTAGAAAATTCAAATATGCATATATGCACATATACAACATATACACATATGTATATATTTAAGAGAATCAAACTGGGAACAATAAATGAGAAGGGAAATCATCATACACCTTGAACCTTTGACCAAAGAATCCAACATATACCAAAAAATGTTCATTATGTGGTTTTTATATTTCCTTTCAAATAATATAAGAAGTAAACATTTCCATGTAAGAGCATGTGGTGTATGTCATACCTTCTCATGGATTTTCTGGCCAGGTTCCATCCCTTCAAGATGTTCTGACTCTGTGGATCCCTCGCTTGATGCCATTTTTCTTTGTATATGAACATTTTGTTCACGCAAGGCAACAATCTGCAAAATAAAAGCACTATACCTTTAAACTCTAAATAGAGCATAAAATAAAAAAAGAAAATGAATTTACTTCAATGTAGTTAAGAATTAATGAACAGTAACGAATAATCAGAAAGTGAACATTACATTTTACTGAATTACTACACAAAATATATTTTTAAATGTAGGTCAGCATTTTGAATAATTAGAAAAATTCATAAAATTTCTACTAAAAATAGGTTAAAGCACTGTGAAATTTACCTAAGAAAATATTTTCTAATTGGAAATGTCTGTAAATTAATTATATATATATATATATATATATATATATATATATATTCATGTATTGTTAATTCAGAAATTATTTTTTTGAATTCATTTGTAGTATGTAATAAAAATGTTTCTTTGGTCTGTATTTGTAAAGTATATAAAAACATAAAGATTGAAGGTTAAAGACTAATTATGAGCACAATTATTTCTCCTATATTGATAGCCCATTTGCAATTTAATATAAAAATTATTTCATAATGCTGTCATGAGTATGTATTACTAAATTTATCTCATTATTTTAATGTCCATTATTTTAGTATTGTAGTCCACAATTTAATTTGCAAACACAAATTCAGAGAGCAGTTAATACTTGTAAACTTTCACCTCAATTTTAAAGACATAAGTATTTCAACTAAAAAACAAATTTTAGGTAGTTATAGCATAAGTGATCCTAGTAATATACAGAGTGAAAAACAGTATTCCAATCTTTTTAAAATGATATTTTAAAATACATTCACTCTCTCTTTCTACACACATATATATATATATATATGTGTGTGTGTGTGTGTGTGTGTGTGTGTGTGTGTGTGTATCACTTTGAAAATACATTATATTAATGCTGTAACATTTATTTCATGGCATATTTTATTGTATTATCAACTCAGATATTAGTCAATATTAGTTCTTGGAGAAATAACTGTACATAGTATTTAATGCACAATAAGATCTGAATCATATTAAACTTATATGTGAAAATTACGAGACCAACATGTCACAAGACGAATAATCATTAACTAAAAAAAAAAAAAAAAAAAAAAGGAAACAAGAGATTGAGTGTTTGCCCTGCTGCCTGACACTACTTCAATGCCATATCTTCCACTATGTGTTCATGAGATCAGTTGATCTTGCTATATGATCTCTGACATTTGAGCAATTGGTATATTCTTTGGTAAGGGTATATGAACAACAACTAGGTATATGTTCTCTCTTTTATAACTGTAATCACCAAATAATTGGCTCCCTCACTCTCGTCCATCTACAATCTTTTATCTACAAAGCAGCCAGATACATCTTTAAAACTTAAATTATATTGTGTAACCCCTCAGCTTTCTAAAAAACTAATGTTTGGCCAGGTTCGGTGGCTCATGACTATAATCCCAGTACTTTGGGAGGCCAAGGTGGCTGGATCACTTGAGGTCAGGAGTTCGTGGCCAGCCCAATCAACTGGTGAAAACTGTCTCTACTAAAAATACAAAAATTAGCCAACATAGTGGCATGTGCCTGTAATCTCAGCTACTCAGGAGGCTGACCCAGGAGAATCCCTTGAACCTGGGAGGTGGAGACTGTAGTGAGCTGAGATTGTGCCACTGCACTTCAGCCTGGGTGACAGAGCGAGATTCCATCTTAAAATAAAATTAAATAAAATACAAAATAAAAAAAACAAAAAAAAAACGAATGTTTTCCCAATTTATTTAGCCTAAATTGAAACTTCTTAACAAGGTCTATACTATTCTACATGATCCCTTTGCTTCAGCCACACTGGTCTCCTTTCCATCTCTCAAATATAACTGGCTCTTTCTTACACAGAACTGAGGAATTTGATGATCTGCCTGCCTGAAACATTATTCCTCAGCTACCATAGGGGGCACAATCCCAGCTTTCAAAATTCAGCTGAAATACAACTCCTGAGAGAGAATGTGTCTTGTCATCAAACACTTTTTACAATATATCCCTGTTTATTTTCTGGCGTGTAGCATTCATTAAAGTCAATTATTTTATTTCTCTGCTTCCTCATTTTGTTTATTTATTTAGCTAGCACAAGTCCTAATAATATCTCCGGAGAAAATAAATTTCAAAAGAATGCTTCATTAAAAACTGTATTTTCATATGAAGTAGCACATCAAATTATTATGTGAAGAATATTAACTAAAAATGTGTTGAATTAAATAATAAATGGATATGGGAAAGCAAATAATCTAAACCTAATCAATTCAAAAATAACAAAAGATAAAGATTTGGAGTGCATACGAAACTTCAGTAACATCCTTTTCTCATTAATCAATATGGAAATAGATTACATCAAAGGAATGACAAGAAGAAGAAAATAGCTCCTGGAAATATCATTTTAATATTATACTCTTAACATGTTACTTTTTGCATAAATATTATGTTACAATTGATACATATTGAGATTTTATTATGAATTAGAAATGTTAAAATATTCAAGTATGATTTGTTAACATTCCACTAAGATAACACCTATGACTAACAGACATGCTAATACAAAGTACCAGGACATTTAATAATTATATGCTTTGTTTTCTATTATGAATCTACCCAGAAGTGAAGGGAGACATTGAAAAAAAATATTTAAAGAAGAAATTTACCTCTCAGCTTACAGATCAGCTTGTGTTTGATTAATAAACAAGTAACTTTCAAATATGTTGTAGTGCCTGAAATAAAGCAGGCCATCTATAAAAGTTTATTGAATGAATCAGTGAAATGATGAATTAATGTCCTCATGAAAGAATAATAAAAAAATCAAATTCATTCAGAAAAAAATGTACAAATACAATTGAGCCACTATGATTTTTAAAATTCTAAACTTCAAGTTTGATACAAAGTTTATACATGACAATTAATTCCAAAAAAGACATAATTTTCAACCACTAACATGCAACATTTGTTTTGTAAAAATGAATCAAGTCTAAAAATGTTGGCTCTTGAAACAGAAGAATGAATGTGACATATTTTATATTCTCTATCACTCTAATATGCTATTTTCCCCCAACAATAAATTATCCTGGGTAGTTGTGAAAGCAAAGCTTCAGCACCTAATTTAATTATGGGTGTTAATAAGTGGATTATTTTTCACACTGTGGAAAGGAGGAAAGTTAGTAGCTCTCTTTCAAAAATTCACCTTTGGGGGTTAAGGCTTTTCTTCAATCTGTTTTAAAGAGTGAAGAGGTCACCTAGAAATCACTGGAGCCTAAGGTAGCACAGACTTCTTTAGGAAATTCTCTTAGCTGGTTTGAGAAGTGAAGACAAGAGATGGCTAGGGAAACAGCTTGCGACAGTAAATAGAATGAAAAGCAGATGATGGTCTCAAAACATTCCCTAGCCTCTCACCGAGATGGAATATTGCCAAAGAAGAGGCCCAAGTAATTTGCCTCCAAGAAAACTAACGTAGGTCTGGATATCTCACTGCTAAACAATATGACCTACTTGCTACGGTTTAAATGTCCCCACCAAAATGTATGTTGAAATGTAATTGCCTTTGTGATGGTATTAACAGGTGGGACCTTTAACACGTTTTTAGGGCATGGGGACTCTGTCCTCATAAATGGGTTAAGGTTGTTATCTCTGGAGTGGGTTATTTATCATTGGAGTGGGTTACAGATAAAAAGATAGAGTTTGTCCCTCATTGTCTCTCTTTCTCATCTCACATGATTTTATACTCTTCCATCCTTCAACTATGGCATAAGGCATCTTAAAAGCTCATGCCAGATGCCAGTGTCATGCCTTGGACTTCCCAGCCTCCAGAACTTTAAGAAATAAATTTATTTTCTTTAAAAATTACACAGTCTGTGATATTCTGTTACAGCAACGCAAAACAGACTAAGACACTACTCCAAATAAGATTACATGTTGAGTAGGAGGAACCACTTATGTACCAGTCCTGTTGTTTACCCAGTTCTTATATAATTGTACTGAAAAACCCACTATGTACAAGCACTGTGCTAAACTATTTTTATCTGGAAAACGGGTATGATTTATATTTAACAAATGATCAGATTAAGATAAAGACAGATTAATGAGGAGAACTGTTACGGTTTACATATATGCCCTCCTCCAGCCCCCAACATTTATATGTTGAAACCTAGGGCCCAATATGATAGTATTCAGAGGTGAGGTCTTTAGGATATGATTACATCATGAAGGCTCTTCCCTAATAAATAGAATTAGTACTGATATAAAAGGCCTCAAGGGAACCAGCTAAGTAAGACTTTTGCCATCCATCTTCTACCACGTGAGGACACAATGTTCAGGGTGCCATACTGGAAGTAGAGGGCAGTCCTTATCAGACACCAAGTCTGCTGATGCCTTGATATGGGACTTTCCTGCCCCCAGAACTGTAATAAACATATTTCTATTGTTTATAAATTATGCAGTCTCAGACATTTGTCACAACAGCACAGATGTACTAAGAAGCAAGCATCAAATAAAATGTAATTGTGTATCCTTATACTTTCTACTCCGTAACATTGGCTCAAATGGTTTTGCTTTGATATTTGCAGTCTATTAAATCACGATAAGTTAATTGTGGGCTGGGCTAGGAAGCATAAACATTTTATTTCCAAGGGCTGATATCCTCCTATGCTGGAATCCTTTGTACATTATCTAGATTAGACACCTCCCTAGACAGATTCAGATATAGGCTAAGTTTTGTATGTATTTTCAGTGAGTTAGCAACCCACTGAAGGCTCATGGAACTCTGTTCCAGATAAGCATTTCACAGCTGGTTTTATTGTTCAATCATTATTATTCAAGTGTCTGTTGACATTTGCTTTTAGGTATCCCTTCACATTTCTTTTGATAATAACATCTTATATTTTCACTGGATAATTTTTCTTTCTTATTCTAATCCCACAGAGACTGTCAATCAAAGAACCAAGAGTCCATGGCAAATGGGTGGGCACAAGATCCAAGCCAGGGGAATCAGAATTTTATTCCTTTACATGTTTCTGGCT